TGTGTGTGTGTGTGTGTGTGTGTGTGTGTGTGTGTGTGTGTGTGTGTTTGTCATGAAGTAAATAGAAACCCGAACACAAGACAGATTTCTTTGTTCTCCTATGACGTTAATTATTTTATTGTGAGAGTAGCATGAGAATCTCAGTGTGAAAAGTCCAGAAATCAACAGAATTAGGATTTTACTAAACAACTGACTCTCTCCCCAATTCTTGCCCTTCACTCTCTCATATTTGTTCTCCTTTTTCCTTTCTTCTTTCTCTGACCATCAGGGACATTTGCTTACTTGCTGTCCTTGGTTCTCTGCAGCTAGATCATCATACACTCTTGGTTTGGGAATATGGGTTCAAAGTTACAAGCTTTTAAACAGCTGGAAGAGTGTCTCTTTTTTTGTTTTGTTTTGTTTTGTTTTGTTTTGTTTTGTTTTGTTTTGTTTTTCGAGACAGGGTTTCTCTGTGTAACCCTGGCTGTCCTGGAACTCACTCTGTAGACCAGGCTAGCCTCGAACTCTCGAACTCAGAAATCCGCCTGCCTCTGCCTCCCAAGTGCTGGGATTAAAGGGGTGTGCCACCACCACCCGGCTCTTCCAACTCTTATAACTCAGGCTGGCAGCAAGCAGCTGAACACCCGCTCATGGGTCATGTCATGGACACAAAGACATTTTATTTAAACTGACATTAGCAGAGATTTGCATTTGTTTGTTTGTTTGCTTGCTTGCTTTATTGAGACAAGAACAAACTATGTAGCTTAGGATATCCATAAATTCATAGTCCTCCTACATTAGCATCGTGAGTGAGGTGGGTACCACCATGTCTGGCTTAAAGTTTTCTAATAATGGGTTGGTATTCCTCTGGCATTGTGGGTTTACCTGGGGTAAGGGGTATTTATCTTTCAAAAACAATGATAGAATTATTGCTTGCCAACCACATCTGGAACAGAGCCCTGATTCCACCTTTCAGAGTTTTGTACTCTGGGCCAATAGTTCTCCTGTCTTGGTTTCTTCCTTGATAATATGAAAAATAATCTTACTTTATGGAGTGCTCTGGATGAGAACTGCACATAACACACCTGGCATGGAGCTGAAGTTATAGAAAATGCTCAATATTCATCATTATTGCTTTAATTATTAGAGAAAAGTCATGCCTTGGGAGCAAATATGAACATGATAGAATATGGCTTCACCTAGATTTGTGAGACATGTGGAAGGTATTAACAATATACTGGCAAAACGATTGCACTGTGGTTTTGCTGTCACCTGTGGAATATTTCTAACATTGAATCTTGCTCTTCCTCTTCAAAGTTGCTCCAGAGCCACCTCAAAACATATCATGTGTCCAGGAAGGAGAACATGGAACTGTAGCCTGCTCCTGGAACTCTGGAAAAGTTACCTATCTGAAAACCTATTACACTTTACAGTAAGTAAAGCTCGTTGTGGCTGTTTTGTGTATATTCTCTTAAATAGCTTTCAGCAAGATCAAATGCTTTTATTATTTGTCAAGAAGCAGCAATAGATAGCTTGCCTAGAATTTAAATACTGTTCCCAGTGCCTGCCAATGAGAACTGCCTTATCAGTTTGAACTGTGAGGCCTGATATGTTGATTCTAAATTCTTACTCAAAAGTTTCCTTCTGATTATCCAAGACCTTGACTAAAATAGTCTCCCTGCAACCAAGTTAAGATAGCTGGGTAAAACCCCATCTCTTTTGCAGTCACACACTTTTGAGCATAATGAATATATAAATGGACTCCTCCTTGGAGGAATTGCTTTTTAAAATACAGTTGACTGATGTGAGAGTCAAGAATATGGAAGCCTCTCGTACTGGAATATATCTCATAATCTCATCACTGGCCTAGATGCACCTAGGTGAGCATGAGATAGAAAAGGCAGTGGGACCAGGATTGGAGTCCTCCTACCTACAATATGGACATACTGTGAACTCACACCATATTTCCATTCAATGTAAATTAGATGCTCATAGGTCTTTTGGATAAAGGTTAGAACTGCCCTGAGGAGCCAAGATAACAGCTACGGTTTAAAGAATTTAACAGGGTAGGCAAAGATGTCCCTTTATATAAATATTCATTTAAAAAGATTTCAGTTGTACCAAAAAAAAAATGGAGTGAGGAGGAAACATGGCCCTTATGGGATCATAAGAATAGGACTCAAGGATTCTTACAGTATATCCTCTGGATATATATACAGTATAGCCTTAAAACCTCTGTCTAGAATTTTCAATGTTAGAACATTTTGTTCTTTTGTAGTGATTGTAGGAAGCAGCATGAAAAGTATATTGCTAAACACAATTTTGTTTGGGTTACAGGTTGACTGGACCAAATAATCTGACCTGTCAGAACCAATGTTATTCTGACAATCGTCAGAGTTGTAGTCATCTGGATCTTGGGATCAATCTAACTCCTGATTTAACTGAATCCAGATTCATAGTCCGTGTTACTGCCATCAATGATCTTGGAAATTCTTCTTCACTTCCGCGTATGTTCACGTTCTTGGACATAGGTAAATTCTACTGCAGTTATCCAGGCGTCGTTTACTGGCTCATAAAGATTATTTTAAAACTCATTCAAATCTTCTGTATGTAGTTATTTTAAAGGAGACAGGAGCTAATGGAAAGTAACCAAAAGTTACAGACATAATAGTACAAGACTATTTTGATGCATGCAAAAGAAGGGCTGGCCTGTGGCAACATAGAAGTGCAATAAAACGGGACTTCTGGCCTCATTCTCTTAGAGAAATAAAACTTTCTAACTTATTGTCATCAAAGAAGCAGCTGCCAGTGACACCTCTGACAGAAGAGAGTTCTGAGAGGTCATACCAGTGGCTCTTTACCACTGGTCATACCAGTGGTCATACCACTGGCTAACCCCACTGTGTACACTGTACATATACTATGCCAAGATACAAAAGTATCTGCTATAAGAATGCTAGCCTCTACCCCTCACCTCAGGGAACTGAAAGGAGCCAGTCCCAGCACCTAAACAACAGAATTGGCCCTGCTAAATTAGAAGCCAGTCTCAAGCATCCCACTTTGCAAGCATCCAGATGGACCTGGAACCGTCCCAGTGAGCCTGAGTGTCTGTCTATCTTGCCTGTAGTTCCTACTCACATCTCTTTGCTATTTGCATACCTGTTTGTTTTCCACCTCTCTCCTCATCCACTTTCTGCCTCTTTAAAAACTGTTCATTACTGCACCACCATTCTGCCTTTTATTCTTTTTCCATTTTTCCAGAATTTTCCTAACATTTTTTTCCTGAAGCTGCCACCACTAGCCTCCTTTGCCTTTGCAGTCATTAGCATATTGGTTCTCTTTAAATCTACTAAGTGGAGTCAACAAATCTATTTTTTGGTAAAGATGAGGTTGGTTAAGGGTAATTATTTCAATGGCTAATTAATTTACCTTTTATTTTTTTACTTATTCACTTTATATCACACTCACTGCCCTCATCCCAGTCACCTCTTTCAACAATCTTTCCCCCATCCCCACATCCCCTTCTCCTCTGAGCAGTTGGGGGAGTCCCTGGGTATCCCCTTACCCTAGCACTTCAAGTGTCTTTGAGGCTAGGGGCTTCCTCTCCCACTGAGGCCAGACAAGGCAGTTCAGCCAGAAGTACATATCCAAGTACAGGCAACAGCTTTTGGGATAGCCCCCATTTCAATTGTTCAGGACCCACATGAAGACCAAGCTGGACATCTGCTACATATGTGCAGGGAGACCTAGGTCTAGCCCGTGTATGTTCTTTGGTTAGTGGTTCAGACTCTGAGAACCTCCAGGGTCCAGGTTAGTTGACTCTCTTGAAACCAACATTTTCAATAGTTCATGTCAGTACTTAAGCAATCTCTGATCGCAAAACCTGACTTGCACATTTTGGGTTGTCTTGGTCACTAGTGAGGCCTCTTCCTCCGTGGGATATCAGAATCAACTTTCTAAATGCTTCTGGGAGCAGATGTACACTGAAGTGGGAAGATGAGGGGCAAGTGGTGCTCAATCGACTCAGATACCAGCCTCTTAACAGCACATCCTGGAATATGGTAATAATTTTTAGAGGGATGGGAGAAAATCCGTAAGGGCCCTTGACATTGTTCCACAGACTTTTCTTGTCATGTCAACTAACAAGGAGTTTAAGAACTTTTAGCAGGAAACACATAATTTGAAATCTATCAGGAAACTGTATATACCTGTCAACTTTTTTAAAATTTTATGGGTACAAGTGTTTCCCTGTATGTATGTGTGCCTCGTGCCCCCTGGAAGCCAGAAAAAAAGCATCAGATCCCCCTGGGGCTGGTCATGCAGACTGTTCTGAGCCACCATATAGGTACTGGGAACCAAAGCTGGATCCTCTGCAAAAGCACATGCTCTTAGTCACTGAGCCATCCCTCTGCTTGTTAAGAAATGTTGGCATTGGAGAGATTAGTCAGTGGGTAAAGCATTTGCTGAGCAAGCACAGAGCCTGATTTTGGATCCTCAGCACCCTCACTAAAAACTGACGCATGGCGGCCTATGTGATGCCAACACTAAGGTACAAAGTGTTTTATAAATCTATTTTCAATAATTTGTTTCTCCTTATTCTTCTATCCCTTCCTCATTATCCTTTTTTAACATTGAAAACATATTGTAAAGATATTAGGGTATGTACTCAGAGGCTTATATGGCACTAGATTTTCCCAAGGAAAGGATTGCAATTTATATATTAGGCACCACACTGTATGTGTCACAGCATGGATGTGGAAGTCACAACAGCCCTGACTGTCAGGGCTCACATCCTACTTTCACCTTGTTTGAGATAGTGTGTTTGCTGCTCACAGACACATAACCCAGGCTACCCCATACCCGAGCCTACCAGCCTGTGAGCTGGTGGGATCCTCCTGTCTCTATATTTCACTCACTATAGGAGCCTGGGATTACAGATGCCTGTGCCTAGATCTACACAGGTTCTGGAGCTTTGACTCAGGTCTTCACATTTGTTCAGCAAGAACTGAACCCACAGAGCCATTTACCAACATAGCATTACCATTTTTTATAATTTTTTTTAAAGTAGGACTATAGTTTCTTCAAGAATTATATAAAGTACAGTGGCTTTTATAATAATAGCAAAGGACTGACTTCACATAGAGTTGATACCCAAGAGACTGTAACTTCTTTTTTGTAAAACCAATTTTATGTCTGTATTAAAGCATTCATCATATTGCTAATTACATATAATGTAGACATTTCTCCATGTGTCTTTTAGAATTGATACATTTTTGGACTAGTGTAATGACATATACCTACAATCCCAACGTGTTAAAGGCTAAGAGAGAGGCTAGAGTTCCAGGCCAGCCTGGTGTGCCATGTGTGCCTGGTGCTCATGTAAGCCAGAAGAGGACCGATCCTCTGAATTACAGACAAGTGTTAGCCACCATGTGGGTGCTCGAAAATGAACTGTAGTTGTCTGCAAAAGCAGCTAGCACTCTTAATCACTGAGCCATCTTCTCAACCCCCCAAAAATAGATCATTAATCCCTAGAGATTTGTTTTTATTTAGAAACTATTATATTAGGTTAACTTCCCATTCTCAGTAACTCTAATACTATTTATTCTTGTTGAATGGAAGATCTGGAGAATTTAAAAGGTCAGCTTATCTAGTTTGCCCATTCAGATTAAAATTCAGGTAGATGAAGAAATGCCTCAGCAGCAGAGGACCTGGCTTTGGTTCCCAGCACCCATGCTGGGTGAACTCAACTGCTTGTAATGCCAGTTCCAACTCCTGCACACACACACACACACACACACACACACACACACACACACACGGTCCATGTACAAACTCTTAGGCACACACATAAATTAATTAATTAATTAATTAATTAATCTTTCAAAAATCTTTGTACTATCTTTCTTGTTATCTTTTCTGTATATGAGTTTGCACATGCTAAGGACACACTGTACCACCAAGATACTTTCTCTTTATATCCATTTGCTACTAATAGGTACTTTATAGATGTTATCCTGCTATTTCATTCTGTTCTACAAGGTTGCCTTAATGAATAAGAAGCTGGTTTTGTCACTAGAGTCTGCGGAGGAGAGGAAGGAAGGAAGGAAGGAAGGAAGGAAGGAAGGAAGGAAGGAAGGAAGGAAGGAAGGAAGGAAGAGATTGTCTGAATAGAGGAATAATGTCAGGCTCACCCTTGACACACTAGCATCTAACAGCTGAAGTAACCTATGAAGCACTTCGAAGTGTTCAGAAGAGTATGAATTCCCATGAAAATGCTCGCTATTTTCAGTCGTGGGTTTTTTTTTAATATGTATGATTGTTTTGCCTGATTTATTTTTATGTACTACATGCATGCTTGGTGCCGCAGAGGCCAGAAAAGAACATCCAATCAGAACTTCTGGAACTGAAGTTGTAGACAGTTGGGAGCTGTGATGTGAGTCCTGGGAATCAAACTCAGGTTCTCTGCAAGAACACTCAGTATTTAGTCACTGAAGCGTCTCTGCAGTCTCAAAGCTTTGCTTTGGCCATTGCATACTGTGTGCCTGTTGTGAACTGTCATAATGCTCTCTATAAGAATACACAAACCTTGTGTCTAAGAAAATCTCATCTGATTCAAGGTTAATGCTACAAATGCCAAAGGACGATATGACCTGCAAGATCTGAGACCATTTACAGAGTATGAATTTCAGATCTCCTCTAAGCTTCATCTCTCCGAAGGAAGTTGGAGTAATTGGAGTGAGTCACTGAGAACAAGAACACCAGAGGAAGGTAGGCATCCAGAAAGGAAAAAGGGGGGCGGGGGGAGGAATCAGAGAAAGGGGACTGGAAGAGGCCAAGTCTTTTTTGACGCAGACTCTTTCAAAGCATGATGTATAGAAACTTCCTGGAAGGTAAGTTTTATGGTGCTAAGAAGTTTATGGCCTGCCCCTGTCTGCCATAAGTCAAGCCACCACTTTACTATTGTCCAGTTAAATTTGTTCTTACTTCTCTTACTGCCTCAGTGACTGTTATTCCCCAAAGCTGTAGCCAGAATTAATCTCATTTCTTTGATACATTTTTATCTCTTTGGTTCTTTGAAAATTACAAATTATCATTTTGAAACTATAGAGCATACCAAAAGCTTGAAAGAACTTCTGAAGACAATATCCTAAAATAAAAGTAATGGCCAACGATGTCTCTTTTTTCCAAATGTACACTGCTCAAGGGAGGCCTGTTGTGCCAGAACTAGGAACAGCATAACAAGTTCAAGTTTTAATCTAATGAATGGGCTTTTCCTTTTGATAATTACTGAGAAGTCAGTAGCATTGAAATATAAGCAAATATTTTATTGAAACAGAAATCCTTTCATAACCTATCATCATATTGAAAATGTTTTCCTCATTTGTATTAGTTCTTTAAAAGTTTGATCAGGTTCACCCCCTCCCCCAACTCCTACCAGATTCATAATTAACCCACACAACTACATTTGTTTGTTTGTTTGTTTGTTTGTTTTTTAAAAAATCAAGTACAATTTGTGCTGCCCATATATTCTAGATTGTGTGGCCCTCACTGGAAGAGAGTCAATCCACCAAGAACCACAAGCTTTGAAGAAAACTGACTCTCCCTCTCCCAGCTGTTATCAATTGCCAATAGCTCCTTAGCAGGAAGTGGGCATGAAGTCCTCCTACCTCTCCATGCTGGAACTTTGTCTAGCTGGGCATGCTGTCTCAACTGCTGTGAATTCAAATGTATGCCTGGCCTGCTGTGTCTAGAACACACTTCCCAATCATAAAAGCCTTTGAATTCACAAAAACTTTTTAAGCATTTGTCAGTGGCATAGTATAGATCTTTTCATACTGTGC